CACACACAGACACTGAAAAGACACACGCAGACACTGAAAAGATATGCACAGACACAGAAAAGGGACACACAGAAAGCTAATCCCAATTCTTCGATAGAGCTGTTGATGACATCATGCGGCAATTATAGATGTAGGAAAGATAGGATCTCTCGTCTGTAAACTGGGTGCTGAGCGCCAGATAGTATATCAAAGATTGGTTCATTGTTGGTGATGATGGGGCAGTCTGCACAGTGTCACTTATGAGCTTCCGCTGTGCTCTTATTTGGTGGAGCTCCTGATGCAACTATGCTGTTAGTTCGAGGCCATGACTATCTGGTCTCATATGTATGATGCTGCTTGGTTTCTGATGATCGTTGTCCCTCTTTGCAGCCTTATTATCGCTTATTATTATTATTATTATTGTTATTATTATTAGTAGTAGTAGTAGTATTAGTATTAGTATTAGTATTAGTATTAGTATTCAATCAGATTCGCTTTTTCTTACTTCGCATGCATGCAAACATAAGACACTCACACACGCACAGAGAAGGAAACAGACAGACAGGCAAAGGGAGAGAGGGAGAGAAACAGAGAAAGAGATGGATCTTACCTTAGCAGGAAGAAGCTGAACTACTCTGCGGGGTACTCACCACTGAAATCTCGACATACGACGCGCCTCGTGTGGCATGCGCCACATCAGCAAGGTAGACAGGTGACAGCGCCAAGTCAGCAAGGCCTGGCGCACAGGATAGACATGCGCACAGGATAGACATGCGCACAGGATAGACATGCGCCAGCATGCTGCCACAATCCCACGTCATCAACCGCAGTACTAGCGCACAGCCAGCACCAGGCTGGCATCAAGCCAGCATTAAGACAGCATAGGAAGACTGAATGATGACCACTCGGAGGCCAATCTTTATGAAACATTTGGCGAGGTTGTCTGGTCTCGGGTCCGCCTCCCACAGTCATACAGAGAGACTCACAGCCGAGGGCCTGGACTGTGTAGAGTAGCAGACTCCCCTGTGGTCCTAATGCTGTCTAAATACATGCATACGACCGGACAGAGGGGCACGTACAAACAGACCAAACAAGTATACAAAAAGACCAGACAAACAAGCAAAACAGCAAACAGACATGCATACACACAGACGGACGAACAGTAACAGGCCGGTCACGAAACAGCAGACAGACGGACGGAGCCAGGCACATACGTAAGACCAAACACAGGCTGGAGGCAGGGAGACAGCGGGGAACCATAGCAGGGCTTACCAGCCTGTAACTGGGCAGGGTCACAGGGTGGTCTTTTGGGGTACTAGTGGCATCTGTGAGTTAGAAACGAGGTCGTGAGTGCAGTGTGTGACATACCTGGTGCTGGAAGCGTGCAACAGTGGTCGCCATATGCTCCTACTTCGGGAGTGCTGTTGACGTTTTCTTTCTGCTCCATAGTATAGGCTAGTTAGGATGTGCCACACGTAGTCTGGGCTCTAATCGCCAGATAGAATATCTACTCTGGTTCTTCGTTAATGATGATGATGGGACCAGCTCAGCATTATCAATTATGAACTCTTGGCATGATTCCTATTTGGTGTTTCTCGTGATGCAACTCTGCTGTTGGTTCGAGGTCAAGACTATCCGGTTGCATATGTATGATACTGATTGATTGCTGAGGATCGCTATTACTTATTATTATTATTATTATTGTTAACTACAATTATTATTATTATTATTATTATTATTATTATTATTATTATTATTATTATTATTGTTATTATTATGGTTATTATTGATTGATATTGCAATCAGACTAGTTCTCATTCACATTTTTCATGCATGTAAACAGTAGCGCAGCAAGCTGACGACATTCGCTCACACGAAACTCAGAGATATGGCATCCAGATACGAGTTCGCCTTCAACTGGCTATGGCGACTCAACGACCGAAATAACTCGCTGATTACATACACCGGATCACCCTGGATATCCCATGTGCGACCTGCTGTACGAGAATACGGCCCACTCTGCGCTTAGACATTTTGGCAGCCATGACTACTACTATCACTACTACGATGGCTACTCTCTCCTTCCTTGCCCGCATCATTTATAGACACAGGTATACGGGCGCAGATGGCTGTGCTTGATGTAACGAGTCAAGATGCAGACAGTTATGAACAGAAGCAGGCAGGTTAAAGGACATAGCTATCAGAGACAGACAACGGCAGTCGAAACAAACAGACAGGTGCAGGCCGACTGACATAGACAAAACACAGTCAGACACAGTCTGGCATACAGTTAGATACAGTCTGGCATACTGTCAGACATGGTCTGGCACACGATCAGACACCGTCAGGAACACAATCTGATGCCTTGTCTGACACAGTCGGATACAGTCAGACAGCGACATACGGAAGTAGCAGAAACAGATGTATATCCAGACAGGGCCGGAAGCATGCCCTGACCAAACACAGGCAGTAGGAAGAACAGGCACAAAACACAGATGGAAGCGCAGATGGAGAGGCAGACGGCGACAGATAACAAACAAACAGTAACAGATAACCACCCAGTAAGAGAGGTAGAGAGGGGAAAATAAGGGAGCACAAGGGGAAGAAATTAGGAGGAAGGGGGAGTGTGGCATACTGCGTAGCCACACGGGCCCTGCAGGGCCCGTCCCGGACATTCAGCCTAAAAGCCTAAAACTTAGGGCTTACAGGCCCCGGTCGT